AAAAAAAAAAAAAGAAAAGAAAAGGCCAGGCGCGGTGGCTCACATCTGTAATCTCAGCACTTTAGGAGGCCAAGGTGGGTGAATGACTGGAGGTTGAGAGTTTAAGAACAGCCTGGCCAACATGGTGAAACCCTATCTATACTAAAAATACGAAAATTGGCCAGGCATGGTGGTGCACACCTGTAGTCCCCTAGCTACTAGGGAGGCTGAGATACGAGAATCGCTTGAACTGGGAGAGGGAGGTTGCAGTGAGCCAGGACTGCGCCACTGTACTCCAGTCTGGGCAACACAGCAAGACTACATCTTAAAAACAAAACAAGAGGCTGGGTTCGGTGGCTCACGCCTGTAATCCCAGCACATTGGGAGGCCGAGGCAGGAAGATCACCTAAGGTTAGGAGTTCGAGACCAGCCTGACCAACATGGAGAAACACCGTCTCTACTAAAAATACAAAATTAGCTGGGCATAGTGGCGCATGCCTGTAATCCCAGCTATTTAGGAGGCTCAGGCAGAAGAACTGCTTGAACCTGGGAGGCGGAGGTTGCAGTGAGCCGAGATGGCACCATTGCACTTCATTCAGCCTGGGCAACAAGAGCAAAATTTTGTCTCAAAAAAAAAAAAGGAAAAGAAGGCAATTTCAGTTTATTCCAAACCATTAATTGTTTGTTCCACATAGCAAGTAAACCTGCCTTATGAACAAACTCAATTCAAGGTTAAGATTCAGAGACAAATTTTCTAAGGTTTGGCTCATGGTTGTGCCTGACCTAAGTGGCTGGAAGCTTTCCAGATCTTTCCAGATCTATTTTTATCTCTCCTTCAAATGTGGGTATAAAGAGTAATTTATTTATTTATAAAGGATGGGTTCCTGCTACTTCCTCGTTGGCCCTAGTTCCACCTAGAATATTCTATTGTAAGGGGAAGTGCGTAAAAGGAGATGCTATAATAGTATTGACTAGTTTATAAATGGTTAGGGTAGGATACAAATTTAATAAATACTCTGTTTTACTTACTATTTATCACAAAGAATACCTTTAATAAACTGGATCTCATGACATCAGGAAAGAAGGAAGATTCCTACAATCTGCTGGCTTTAGCAATAAATTTCTCCCTTAAAAGGTGAACTGGCTTTGACTAAAGTGTAAATAAACACTGATAAAAAAAAATTTCACCTAATGAAAATTTTAAAGTTCCTTAAAAAAAACAAACAAACTCCATCTTAACAAAACACAATCTAGTTAGTTTCTGAATAAAGTAAATAAAACCTGTAACTACAAGGCTCTGGCATTACAACTAAAAATTCTTAGAGATGGACAATACTGGAATTGGTTTGAAACTACCCTGCCACAGCCCTCTTCTGCAATTATGGCTGAAAAGGTCTCAGAGCTGAGTTTTCCTCTTGTTGCTCCCTCTAATCCCTAGGGACAGTTAGCAAATCCTCCATTTGGAAGGTCTTCCGGCTAACTCAACAGAAACACAGCCAGCTAGTCTTGCAGTTCTCGTCTGCATTTACCTGAAGGTCAATGTAGCCATCGTCTGTGCTGGAGAGCCTTGAATATTTCACTTTACTACTGGGGATTCCAGTAGCCAGGTTGGTACGGGACGGCATCATAACACGCTGACACAGCTACGGTTTGAAAACAAAAAACGCTGTTATTGTCTGTAGGTGACAAAGGTGCATTAGAGCCAATGAGTTCAGGATTATTAGATGCTCTGCATTGGAGTTCTGGGCTGCCACGTCAGACTAGCAATGGGCAATTTACACTTCACTGTTAAATTTTCACTGTGTCAGAGGCATACGCATATGGAGAACCAGATATGCCTCTGACACAGTGAAAACATTCTCACTATATATTAAATATCTAGTCTGGTCTGTCCTTGTAGAATGACAGTGAAGACACTCACCGAGAATCACATTCCAGTTTATTGTGGCACTAAGATTCCCTGACTTTTAATTTTTCCAAAGTCACATAGAGACTAGGTAGAATAATGAGGACTTAAATCCAGGTCCACCTGACACCACAGTATTGCCTGTCCCCTGCTCCCACTTTTAAGAAAAAGCAAGAGGAGCATTCAAATGATTCTCTTGTTTGACAGGGAGGGAGAAGAGGGCAGGAAATGGAATACACTCACATCAACATTTTGCCTATTGCCCCTCGATAGAGATCAACCCTTTAATGCAAAAGATCTGTAAAGTTTCTTGCCGTAAATTTGTGGAGTTTTTTGTTTGTTTGTTTGTTTTTCTTGAGATGGTGTCTTGCTTTGTCACCCAGGCTGGAGTGCAGTGGGTTAATCTCAGCTCACTACAACCACCGCCTCCCGGGTTCAAGAGATTCTCCTGCCTCAGCCTCCCGAGTAGTTGGGATTTATAGGCATGCACCACCACGCCTGGTTAATTTTTGTATTTTTTAAGTAAAGACTGGATTTCACCATGGTGGCCGGGCTGGTCTCAAACTCCTTTTTTTCTTTTTCTTTGTGATAGAGTCTCACTCTGTTGCCCAGGCTGGAGTGCAGTGGCGCGATCTTCGCTCACTGCTGCTTTCACCTCCTGGGTTCAAGCAAT